CATGATACTGTAGTGTCTGACAGTAGTGATGAATGGTTTGAAAAACCGACAAGTTGAAGATTGAGACACTTATGCAGCATATGGGAATCTTTATTCAGGAAACGTTTCGCCACACAGTGGCTTCATAGTCCACACAAAGAGGAAGGCGTAAGGAGAGGAGGAGTATGAGGTAATCAGTCCCTCAGCCTGTAGTCGATGTGTTCAGTCCATCAATCTTGTAGAATGTACAGCATAGGGCCGTAGACGTGGCTTATATACTGTAGTGAGGTGAGGTGAAGCAGGCGGAGGCGGGTCACTATGACCCCGCCTCTGCCTGCTTCACCTCACCTCACTACAGTATATAAGCCACGTCTACGGCCCTATGCTGTACATTCTACAAGATTGATGGACTGAACACATCGACTCCAGGCTGAGGGACTGATTACCTCATACTCCTCCTCTCCTTACGCCTTCCTCTTTGTGTTGGACTGATGAAGCCACTGTGTGGCGAAACGTTTCCTGAATAAAGATTCCCATATGCTGCATAAGTGTCTCAATCTTCAACTTGTCGGTTTTTCAAACCATTCATCACCTCTGGTCCTTCTCTTTGGTATAACTGTGTCTAGCATTAGGAATAATATTAGGAGAGAAGTAAATAATGAAAATGATTGTTATAGGAATGCAGTTAGAAGCCTGAGTAGATCTATAACCCACTATGATAACATGAACGTAGATAAGTATGTTTATGGAGCAACTTGCAATGTGAACAGACTGACTGATGTTGTAGTGGCCAGGCTTAGGCTTGGTTACAAGTACTTCTGGCAATTTGGGAGACACACAGATGATCAAACTAAATGTAAATTATGTGATCAGGCATATGGTCACTCTCTTGAACACTATGTGCTAATTGTCCATTATTGAGGAATACAGAGACAGACAGTATAATAACCTATGTGACATGTCAAGATATCTTATTAATGAAAATAAGATACCAGATATACGAAGCAAATTTCCTAAATTTGCTTGTAACAGATAAGTGAACTATAGATATGTAGATATAAATCCATATGTATTCCTGTTAACCCTTTGGGGCCTAGTTCCTAGGCCTTTTGTGTATCCACATGCTCTCGCGCTACCGTCCACAGGATGGATATGGGGTGCACAATAAACTAGCCACTTCGGTAGCAAAATCTAATCTAATCTGGTCCTTCTCCATTACAAGGTTATTAGATTCAGTTCCTTTAGAATCTGAAAGTTCAAACTTCAAACAGTCCAGTTGTGTTATATGATCCCTACGGGTTTAGCATTTTGCCCTTTATTTTAATACTGTCATAATGGTTACCATCCAATACAACCCATTACATAACTTCACTAGGAAAGGGACGTTGCAGGGGACAAATACTTAAATAAATGCACTTGGGATATGCAGAGTCCCTGGCAACAACCAGAGACTGACCCAACTGGTGACAAAGAGAAATCAGTTAAATAGCAGCACAGTACAATCAGTGACTGAGTAACAGACTGAGTGAATGTGTCTTTGCTGACTCTTATTGCCTTCCAGACTTATTTTGTCTCACGCCTAAGCTTATGAGAATTCATTTCCATGTCATATAACTTTATGTATTCACATAACTTATATATTCATGTAACTGATATATTCAAGTAACTGGTATATTCACGTAACTGATATATTCACGAAATTGATATCATTCTGGGCCATTCATAATTGCCTCAGCTACCTACGTCCCGATGACCTTACCCAGAGACGGCCATCAGCTTCATAGATCCCTCCTTCCTGCCCTGCAGCTCTGTATAGCCCTTGTGGTTTAGCGCTTCTTTTTTATTATAATTCATAGATCCCTTCCTCATGATCTGGGTACCTTCACCAGCATCTCATGTAGGTATAACTGATACAAGGAACATTATTGAAACTTCCTGATTAATGAAATAGTGTCAATCTGAAATTTAAAAAGAGAATAAAACTGATATTCCACATTACAAGGGGTTTTACAGCAACTGGAAACTAGGGGATAACTGGGTTCGAATCTAGGAATAGGATATTGCCAATTCCTTGAATCAAGAGCCCCTCACCAGCACCAAGGCACCTCCCTCGAGAAGCAGCGTTTCAGACAATTCCATTTACTGGTACTAATTCATAATTTGAACTGATATATAAGCATTTCATGAATCATTTAGTGCTACAGATCATGTTGTCCTTCATAGATACTAGCTACATATTTTTTCTTTCTCCCTTCCCAATTTCTATTTCACTTTTCTGAATCTTCCAGCGCCTGTATTTATGTCCCGTTATTCAATGCTTCTTTCTGCTATTTTTATTTATAAATAATATTTCCCATCTTTCAGCGATTCATTTCTGCTATTTTTGCTTATAAAAAAATTTCAGAATCTATTTTTTCAATACATTAATAAAATTTACATCCCTTTGAGATTCAACTGTTTTAATATACATCAGTGTGAGTGCCATGCAAATTAGGGACACAATGACATAGCTTAAGGTACTGAAATTATAGTAACAACACTAAACTTGTATGATTTAATGTACTAAACAGGTGTTTTACATAAGTGCTTAGACTCGTTTAGGTAACACTGGGATATATGTGATTTATTTATTGCTAAACCTTTGTGGTTTATTCAGTGTTAAACCTGTTTTTAGTACTAAACCTGTGGTTTATTCGGTACTAAACCTATGCGGTTTATTCAGCACTAAACCTGTGAATTATTCAGTGCTAAATCTGTTTATTCAGTGCTAAACCTGTGGTTTATTCAGTGCTAAATCTGTGGATTATTCAGTGCTAAATCTGTTTATTCAGTGCTAAACCTGTGGATTATTCAGTGCTAAATCTGTTTAGTCAGTACTAAACCTGGGTGGTTTATTCAGCACTATTATTATTATTATAATCAAAAAAGAAGCGCTAAGCCACAAGGACTATACAGCTATTCAGCACTAAATCTGTGGTTATTTATCATTACAATCATAACTAAGTGCTTAACCCACAAAGGTCATACAGTGCTGGTGTCGTTATTCTGTGGTAAAACTTTAGTTTATTCAGTACTAAACCTGTGTGGTTCTTCAACACTAAACCTGTGGTTATTCAGTGCTATACCTGTGTGGTGCATTCATACTAGAAGTGGTTTATTCAGAGCCAAATCTGTTTGGTTTATTCAGCACTAAATGTGTGTGGTTTATTCAACATTAAATCTGTGTAGGCTACTCAGTACTAATCTGTGGTTAAGTAGGCCTTAACACTAGGCTTCATCAGTTAAATACCGAGGCAGTAAATATAGAGGAAGCAGAGGCAGTGGAGAGGTAAATATGATGTTATCTGTCCATCAGCTTTGAAGCAGCAGTTTGAGGTAGTCAGTCCCTCAGCCTGTAGATGTGTTCAACGTCGTAATCTTGAACGATGTGAAACAGAAACACGAGAATGGGGCTTTTTGTAGTGCCATAGCTGAGATGCGGAGAATGATGATGATGCCATGGGAAAAGGGGCCCCACGCTTCACACCCAACCACTAGTTATGAGTGAGAAGAGTTGTAGTCGAGGACCTGCCTAGTATGGACCAGTAGGCTTGCTAGTGTTCCTCATTTCCTGTTTTTCCTGTGATGTCATCTCCATTATCTGCACCTTACCTCTGGCACTACGAAAGACTCCATTCTTGAATTTCAGCTTCACTTCATTCAACATTATGAAGATGAACACATCTCCAGGCTGAGGGACTGACTACCTCAAACTACTACTTTAAGGTTGATGGACTGATCACATCATCTTTACCTCTCTACTGCTGTTGTTTCCACATTCGACATCTTTGTTTTTGACAGATGAAGCCTACACAGTAGGCTTCATCTGTCAAAACATTTCACATAAAAATGCCTAACTGGTATTGCATGCCATTACTATACTGATATGATACAACTTTTGTAGGCTATTCACTTATTAAGTTAATCCAGTGTGGGTTATTCACTGCCAAACCCATGTTGGTCCTTCATTGCTTAACCCGTATTTTAATCAGCGCTAAACCACTGAAGGTTATTCATTGTAATTATATTCATGGAAAGTGCTAAACCCATAAGGGTCATACAGCAGTGTATGGTGGATCTGTAAGAGATGAGAAGCAGTATTCCTGAAAGAACATTGGCTGAAAGTATGGCACTTACAAAACCAGTGACATATAGGAAAGTACAGTGTCTGCATTAAAAGTGGGAGTGTCAGTAGGGCACACAGAGTAAGCACATAAGAGCACTGGAGAAGGTGTTTGAAATGAAGATGGGATGCTCTCTAAAGATCAAGGTAATCAATCAAGATATGTTGGACTGTCAGAGCAACCCGACAATCTTCAAAGAGTGTTGCAATGCACCTGTGGGATTGCTAAAGGGACTGCCCCTAGCCTACCATGGCTGACAGAATGATTATGTGAAAACTACTATTTATGTCTCCAGCTTTATATTCAAATAAGGAAGCCTCTTGTAATGGTAAAAAGTTTCAGAAAAAATGCCCCTTGTGTTGCTCATGTGTCTTATTCAAGGCTAAATCTGTGTGAATTTAACACTGAATACCCCACATATGAGAAATCAGAGAATCCACATTAAAGGTGGGACCATTAGTGGAAGGCAGGCAAAAGGGGTTACTAGCCCCTTGCTCCCAGCATTTTAGTCGCCTCTTAGAACATGCATGGCTTACGAAGGAAGAATTCTGTTCCACTTCCCCATGGGGACTTAAGGTATACAGTATGTACTATAAAGAAGTTTTACATTAATGAAAATTATGAAAGAGAGATTGAAGGGAAGTCTCAGCAAAGCAATTTTTCCATAGCTACCTTTTTAAAGACTGTATACACTAGGATCAAAGGCATAAGAAATATATACATATACAGAGCAGTCTATAAACCAGTGACACCTGCACTATGATATGATGTATATACATGAAAATGCTCAAATGTTTAATAAGTAAAATATGAAAGAAAATCCATGTTCTAATTATAAAGAGGGATAAAAAACTGTGGTTATAAATATGTACAATATTAAGAAAAATTTATTTTGTTTATTTAGTAGCTATTAACATGTTTCATAAAAGAAATGACTGGTGAAAAAAATTATACACAGAAGATGCAGTGGCTGCCCCAACTACTTCCTCAAGAGTCTCTTGTGTCGCATTTGCTAGTTCTTTTAAAGAGCCAAAGTGTTGGAGAATTTTTCGGACACGTTTATCACCCAAGCCAGGAATCATTGCTGTAGTTTTCAGCAAATCGGCATCTGGAGAACTTGCTGTTTTTGGTTTCATTCGAAATGGATTTGAGTTAAACTTTGCTTCGCACATCACCAAATTAGCTAGCAGCTGTGCAGCCTGTATAAAAGACAAAAATGGCTTTAGACACAAGTGGCATACTTTGCATAACAATGGATTTTCCCATTTAACAAATCTTAGTAAAACAAATGCATGTTCTTAGAAAATTAATGATTTTGATTATGATCACATCAGTAATCATAAGGAGCCACCCATTTTTTCCTACCTCTTTGAGGTAGGAAAACATAAGTGCCACCATGACCAAAGACCTGGTTAGTGAATGGATCAATTCCTTAACATTTTGTCTGTGTGTATTGTCTTCCACATCTATAAGTCAGGCTCAAAGCCCCAAAACAAAGTACGGTGGAACCTCAGCATGTGACCTTAATTCGTTCCAAAGGGTTGTTCAAGTGCCACTCCTTTTGAGTGTCGAACAAGTTCTTCCCAACCAATTTTCTGTTTGGTTGGCTGTTATCACTAATCTTCATATGCCCCATGGTGACTTATTTATACAAATAATACAAAAACAAAACACCAAAATAATGTGAAGAAACATGATGGGGTTGTAAGAGAAGTAAATGCGAGGGTCTTGGCAAGAGGCATGGAGTTAAAAGTTAAAGAATCACACACAAAGTGGGAGTTGTCACAGTTGCTCTTTGCTGATGACACTGTGCTCTTGGGAGATTCTGAAGAGAAGTTGCAGAGACTGGTGGATGAATTTGGTAGGGTATGCAAAAGAAGAAAATTAAAAGTGAATACAGGAAAGAGTAAGGTTATGAGGATAACAAAAAGATTAGGTGATGAAAGATTGGATATCAGATTGGAAGGAGAGAGTATGGAGGAGGTGAATGTATTCAGATATTTGGGAGTGGACATGTCAGTGGATGGGTCTATGAAAGATGAGGTGAATCATAGAATTGATGAGGGGAAAAGGGTGAGTGGTGAACTTAGGAGTCTGTGGAGACAAAGAACTTTGTCCTTGGAGGCAAAGAGGGGAATGTATGAGAGTATAGTTTTACCAACGCTCTTATATGGGTGTGAAGCATGGGTGATGAATGTTGCAGCGAGGAGAAGGCTGGAGGCAGTGGAGATGTCATGTCTGAGGGCAATGTGTGGTGTGAATATAATGCAGAGAATTCGTAGTTTGGAAGTTAGGAGGAGGTGCGGGATTACCAAAACTGTTGTCCAGAGGGCTGAGGAAGGGTTGTTGAGGTGGTTCGGACATGTAGAGAGAATGGAGCGAAACAGAATGACTTCAAGAGTGTATCAATCTGTAGTGGAAAGAAGGCGGGGTAGGGGTCGGCCTAGGAAAGGTTGGAGGGAGGGGGTAAAGGAGATTCTGTGTGCGAGGGGCTTGGACTTCCAGCAGGCATGCGTGAGCGTGTTTGATAGGAGTGAATGGAGACAAATGGTTTTTAATACTTGACATGCTGTTGGAGTGTGAGCAAAGTAACATTTATGAAGGGGTTCAGGGAAACCGGCAGGCCGGACTTGAGTCCTGAAGATGGGAAGTACAGTGCCTGCACTCTGAAGGAGGGGTGTTAATGTTGCAGTTTAAAAACTGTAGTGTAAAGCACCCTTCTGGCAAGACAGTGATGGAGTGAATGATGGTGAAAGTTTTTCTTTTTCGGGCCACCCTGCCTTGGTGGGAATCGGCCAGTGTGATAATGTGATGAAAAAACATGAAATACTTTACAGCGAAGTTCTGGCAGGTTGTATTTGTTTGGTCAAGTGCTGAGCTTTGCTCGAATAGGGAGTTTGTCGTATACCAAGGTTCCACTGTACCATAACTTAAGTTTCAGAGCTCTGATCTCACCCAGGCCTGCATTTTTCTCCATTATTTGAACATGGCCTTTACTCTTTTCTGCCACACAACACCTCATGTATACTGTACCTGCTCTCTCCTCACTCTTTTGTATCTGCTGAAGAGGACCTCAGTTGGAGGTTTATACAGACAACCATTCTTCCTTATTTTTTATCTGCATGTGGATTTTTCTTGTATTCTCTATTTTTTTAGAATTTGTTCATTGTGCCAGTGGCCTCTATTGAGTAAATAATAGAAACAACATCCCTTATACTGTTATTTGTTTAAATTAAAAACATCCAAATTAATTTCCTTAAAAAACTATGTACACACTTCTGTTGCTGAATTCTCAGATTAGTGTAATCTAACTGATGACTGGAACTAACTTTTTATCAACTATTACTAGGTGTTGCATTACTTGTTATAACTTGGCTCTTGTACTAGGGTATTAGTCAAGAAAGATAACTACTGTGGCTGTGCTAAGACACAAGGTAAAACAAACTATGGCTAAGTGGCAGCTCAAAGTTATAAGTAAAAATGAAACAGGTTGATTATCAAAAATAAACTATAGTACAGTAAAATACTATATCAATTAGAGGCAAAATAACTGGTCATGCTAATTTTTTATTTGCAAAACTCCTGAACCCATTACATGTCCAGGAAATCTTGTACATGACTGGAGTGGGCACTGGGAAAAAGAACTATGCTAAAAGTATGGTAGCTGGCAGCATAGCCCCCACAGAACCCTGTAGTCACAAAAACACCCTCCATCTGAATGCAGTACTGATACACTGCAGTAATTTATTAATTTAAAAATCACTCCCTCAGATTGCTTTTTGCACTAGTACAAAAATAAAATACAATTACAGGTTCTAAAAACACAATATTAAAAGCACCACAGAAAATTTTCCAACTAATAAACTTATGAAGCCAGCAGGCTGGTAATCTTTCTAACCAGATCAACAGCTGATTACCCTGTAAGAGGCTTGATATTTTTTGTGGATGATAAAGATTAGCTTACACCAGATTAGAAATTAATATTACCTCCTCAATGTGGATCAAACTTGGGACTACTGTGTTGCTAATCCATTACAATAATTAAAAGCAGTAACTCACATTACACTGATGTGAAACTTCAGTACCAGTTTTTCCATGATAGGATCCACATTCTAACTTCTTTAATACAATTATGAAAACTTTAATTCTGCATCAATGATTAGTCTAATATAGACTTAAACTTTCTATCTTAGAATGGCAGAATAGGGTTTACACTGTTAGGTAAAAGGACACATGCAACTAATGCAACATTTTCTTGTGGCAATGTTTCGCTCTCCAGGAGCCTTGACAAAACTTCTGGAGAGCGAAATGTTGCCATAATGGCGCATTAGTTGAACATATCCTTTACCTAACATATTGTCGGTAATTCTACCAATACTATTACAAGGTTTTTATCCTTAATTTTCACAATTTTGAGGATCTAATTGGACAAATTATTAATTATTCTTTTTTCAACAAACTGGCTTTATCCCACCAAGGCAGGGTGACTCAAAAGGAAAAACAAAAATTTCTTGTACATTTGGTAATATATACAGGAGAAGGCATTACTAGCCCCTTGCTTCCAGCATTTTAGTCTCTTTTTACGACATGCGTGGCTTATGGAGGAAGAATTCTGTTCCATTTCCCCATGGAGATAGGAAGAAATAAACAAGATCTAGTAAGAAAATAGAGGAAAACCCAGAAGAGTATGTATATACATGCTTGTACAGTACATGCATGTGTAGTGTTACATAAGTGTAAGTAGAAGTAGCAAGATGTACCTGAAATCTTTCATGTTTATGAGACAGAAAAAAGACACCAACAATCTTACCATCATGTAAAACAATTACAGGCTTCCGTTTCACACTCACTTGGCAGGATGGTAGTACCTTCCTGGGCAGTAGCTATACAGCTATACCAACCTACTACCTAGAAATTATTAGTTATAAACAAATAATTCTCCATGGGGAAGTGGAACAAAATTCTTCCTCAGTAAGCCATGCGTGTCATAAAAGGTGACTAAAATGCTGGGAGCAAGGGGCTAGTAACCCCTTCTCCTGTATATAGTATTACTAAATTTAAAAAGAGAAACTTGTTTTTCTTTTTGGGCCACCTTGCCTTGGAGGGATATGGCTAGTGCATTTAAAGAAAGCAGCAAATAATTATGGTGATAACCACATTCAACATTCTTCACACACCAACTGCAGTCACTATCAATTATAACAGCTTTGCTAGATGCAGCTATATGTGCAGTACAGAAAACTGGAAAAAGGCCACTGTGATTGATACAGCAATAAGATGATGTGCCTGTCACTTGATGCATCAGGTTAATCATTGTTAGGCCTGGCCAATGACTGTGAGTGACAATGTGAACACAGCCTTGGTGTTGGCTATGAAAATCCTTAGTAAATGATGAGCTTCCTGGGCACTATACCATACTACGTACACCAAACTTTTGCTTGATATGACATGATTAAACCATTTATATTCCTTATAATGTAATAGCTTACACCAATTGAATATGTAAGAAGCACTGTTATTTTCAAACTTATGTAGGCCAAGAAACAGTTTTATGCAAGTTAAGTACTATGAGAGAAGATGTATCTGGCTGGAGCAACCATGGAGAATGCTTCCAACCTTTTAACTCTCAAAGATGGCTACATTAACTTACCTCCTCAATAGTCTGAACAGGCAAAATGGCTAAACCAATTTCAACACACACAAATCTGGAAAAAAAGGCAACAGGACAATTAGGCTCATCATTTAGGATTGCCAGTAAACATCACTTAATGTGTTTGCAACATTGTCAAATAAAATACACAGAACATGCTTCAAAATATCAAAATCAAAATTTTATTTCTTTGTAAAGGTTACAATGCGTGTTTACATTTCATAATTTGATTGGTACAAGGAAAGCCACTATCATGCTTGGAGGAAGATATATGCATTGCAATTAATTTTAATGAAATATACCTTTGTAGTTTGTAGAATTCATCACTTGTAAGAGTGTTTTGAGCCATGACAATTCCTCTAAGAAATCCATTAACTTTGCGAAATTTAATTACCCGCTCTTTGTAGCTACTTCCTGGAAATGTAACATACATAAATTTCTTTTAAATAATGAATGAATATAAGTAAGACATAATGGAAACTAACAAATATCCATTACTAATAATAATGCTGTATATATTAGCTGATATGCTGCAGATGGGACTTAATGAGGTGAAAAAGAAATGGCATATAGATCACATAATTTAAGATTTTCCTTATTACAGAGCAAGGTTAATAACTGGATGATTGATAATTTGGACACAGCCCTGGTCTTGAGTAGGATAACTTCAATAAAGGATGGGCTTCCTGCCCTAAACATGGGCACTATACCTATACTACAGATATGAAAATTTTGCATATGGTATATGATTATGATTACACTCTATTTATATTCTATTTAATGTACTGGCTTACACTAATTAAATATATAAGAAGCACTATGAATTTTGAAATACTATAGTTTTATAATCTTATGTTCAGACTTATCTGGACTGAGAAATAGTATACTTCATGCAAAATTTGGCTGGAACAATCACTATTCTGCCTCCTCAACATATTATACCATTGTGATGCATCAAACTGTTTACTTTTTGTTCTCTTGAAATGTCTACCTCTATAACTCTTTACTGTGGATCATTAAATATCACTGACAAATTAGCCAATCTGTATTTCTATGTTAAGAAACAATCCAAGTATGTTTGCCTGTGAAACAATTTGAAGCAATATTTTAAAAAAAGTGCTCAATGTATCCCTTGTGTGAGCCATAAGGATCATAGAGCATCTAGGGAATGGGAAAAGTAGAGGTAGTGGGTAATAAAGTTTGAGACAAGGAAAGGGAGAATCAAAGAGCCCTTTTCCAGCCTCAGGGTACCTTCCTTAATTGAACAACAAATAATAAGAATACACATAATAATAATAATACATACTGCAATATTACTGTCCTGTACAGTACTGTGCTTTTTTAGATGCACTTGGTTAATGTAATTTTAAAATTACAATCTACATAAATATTCTGAAAAACTCACAAGTACTCTATGTGAAACATATCGGAGAGAACTGAACTAGAACAAAAACCACTTATAAAGGTGCTACAGATGGAGTGCACCTGTATTTGTCAGTATTTGTACACTTACCAGAAATTATATCTGCTTCACTGATAAATATTAGTGCTGCATCTTGTGATGGACAAAAATCAACAATTCCAAGACCTAAAAAATAAGAGAGTAAAACTGAAACCAGATGCAATACTGTGCTAAAAAATTCAGAGGAAAACTAGAATTTGATTATGGTCCAGGATAGACCAAAACATTGTCTTAGTTTCATCTGAGAGTACATACTTATTAATGATCATGTTATGTTTTAAAAGAAGCTACAAATAACATCAATGTAACAAGAATGAGACTATAGGTAAACGGAAATAAGGACAGAGGAGCACTGCAACACACCTACTAACCCATGCTAGGCACGATCTTCTGAAATTCAACCCTTCCTACCCAAGGAAGGTCTCTTGGGCTGGCAGGCAACTCTCTCACCTCGCCTCACAGTAAATGTAAGTGTTCCTTACACTTACAGTCCCCATTCACCTAGCAAATAAATAGGCACCTGGGTGTTAGTTGACTAGTAAGGGGCTATAATTTGGTAAAAAATCCCAAAAATTTGGGAAACAGTGATTTAGTTTAATATCTCACCATCTGAGTAGTGAATAGGGATAAGCTTTGAGAGGTGGCCAGCCAACTGAGTTCCTCTCCAGCATTTAGACATTAAAATATGTCCAGGTGGAACAACATGGTTATTTATAGGAGCTGACTGCGAGACTACACTCATGATGCCCTGAAAATATATACACAGCACTGTAGTTACATGGTCATATGCATGATATAAAATGAGCCTAGTATTACTTTATATATTAATAAGTGCACTAATGCACTTATAATTTTTAATATTCACTATTTTATTGATGGGGAAGTGCTAAATATATTAGGTAAGTTTATCTGGACATTAAATATATACAAATAATATACTGTAAATATTTTTTTACAAAGATTTTGAGGACAAAAAATTATTTTCTTTGGATTATTATCCTGGAGGTTTATCAACCAAGGATAACCCAGTAAAGCCACTTTGTCTGACTTATTTCCACTGGTATACTTTGATCCTCTTCCCCAGGATGCAGCCCAAAGCCTATAAATGTGAAAAGCTTAAAAAGAACATGCAAAATGTCAAATAAACATGTAAAAATGTGAAATAATATCTTTATTTCCACAAGTACATGTACAAGATATACAGGCCTAGCTAACATCAATGACATAACTACTATACAGTAAGCCCCTTGTTATGCAAATCATTTCCTGCAAATTAGGTTAATTTTGTCCCAGGATGTGATCCAAACTAGTCGGCTAACACCCAGGTACCCATTTTACTGCTAGGTGAAGATGGACAGCAGGTGTCTTAATCTCCGTACTGCCCGTGGCGTCCCTCACAGCCTGAGATGGTGGAACACTTCCTGCTGTGGAGCCCACGTTATCACTCTGCACAGACTACTCTCCGTGCGGCCTTGCGCACGCTTGAGGTGCACACTTTCACTCTACCTGTCCTTCTCAACGGGGAGGGGTTTCGCCCTCTGGACCGTCAGGAGATATTGGCCTGTACCTGCTCCTTCTTGCTGGCTTCAGGGCGTATCAGGGACATATGATACATAGTTATTAGTCAAAACATTCTTCCACTTTGGTCAAAGTCCCCTCTCCTAGCACTGGATGGCCGGGCTCGATACGGCGTATGCTGTCAGTGGCCCTGAAACCCAACAGAAGAAGAAGAAGAAGCAGAAGAAAACATGTCCTAATGTTAACACCCGTACCGGGGATCGACCCCCAGACCTCAGTGTGAGAGATGAGTGTGCTACCAATCGAGCTACGACACACTTAAAACTATTTACCTGGAGTTTACCTGGAGAGAGTTCCGGGGGTCAACGCCCCCGCGGCCCGGTCTGTGACCAGGCCTCCTGGTGGATCAGAGCCTGATCAACCAGGCTGTTGCTGCTGGCTGCACGCAAACCAACGTACGAGCCACAGCCCTGCTGATCAGGAACCGACTTTAGGTGCTTGTCCAGTGCCAGCTTGAAGACTGCCAGGGGTCTGTTGGTAATCCCCCTTATGTATGCTGGGAGGCAGTTGAACAGTCTCGGGCCCCTGACACTTATTGTATGGTCTCTTAACGTGCTAGTGACACCCCTGCTTTTCATTGGGGGGATGTTGCATCGTCTGCCAAGTCTTTTGCTTTCGTAGTGAGTGATTTTCGTGTGCAAGTTCGGTACTAGTCCCTCTAGGATTTTCCAGGTGTATATAATCATGTATCTCTCCCGCCTGCGTTCCAGGGAATACAGGTTCAGGAACCTCAAGCGCTCCCAGTAATTGAGGTGTTTTATCTCCGTTATGCGCACCATGAAGGTTCTCTGTACATTTTCTAGGTCAGCAATTTCACCTGCCTTGAAAGGTGCTGTTAGTGTGCAGCAATATCCAGCCTAGATAGAACAAGTGACCTGAAGAGTGTCATCATGGCTTGGCCTCCCTAGTTCTGAAGGTTCTCATTATCCATCCTGTCATTTTTCTAGCAGATGCAATTGATACAATGTTATGGTCCTTGAAGGTGAGATCCTCCGCCATGATCACTCCCAGGTCTTGACGTTGGTGTTTCGCTCTATTTTGTGGCCAGAATTTGTTTTGTACTCTGATGAAGATTTAATTTCCTCGTGTTTACCATATCTGAGTAATTGAAATTTCTCATCGTTGAACTTCATATTGTTTTCTGCAGCCCACTGAAAGATTCGGTTGATGTCCGCCGTGGAGCCTTGCAGTGTTCTGCAATGGAAGACACTGTCATGCAGATCGGTGTCATCTGCAAAGGAAGACACGGTGCTGTGGCTGACATCCTTGTCTATGTCGGATATGAGGATGAGGAACAAGATGGGAGTGAGTACTGTGCCTTGTGGATCAGAGCTTTTTCACCGTAGCTGCCTTGGACTTTACTCTGTTGACGACTACTCTCGTGTTCTGTTAGTGAGGAAATTATAGATCCATCGACCGACTTTTCCTGTTATCCCTTTAGCACGCATTTTGTGCGCTATTACGCCATGGTCACACTGTCGAAGGCTTTTGCAAAGTCTGTATATATTACATCTGCATTCTTTTTGTCTTCTAGTGCATTTAGGACCTTGTCGTAGTGATCCAATAGTTGAGACAGACAGGAGCAACCTGTTCTAAAACCCATGTTGCCCTGGGTTGTGTAACTGATGGGTTTCTAGATGGGTGGTGATCTTGCTTCTTAGGACCCTTTCAAAGATTTTTATGATATGGGATGTTAATGCTATCGGTCTGTAGTTCTTTGCTGTTGCTTTACTGCCCCCTTTGTGGAGTGGGGCTATGTCTGTTGTTTTTAGTAACTGTGGGACGACCCCCGTGTCCATGCTCCCTCTCCATAGGATGGAAAAGGCTCGTGATAGGGGCTTCTTGCAGTTCTTGATGAACACGGAGTTCCATGAGTCTGGCCCTGGGGCAGAGTGCATGGGCATGTCATTTATCGCCTGTTCAAAGTCATTTGGCGTCAGGATAACATCGGATAGGCTTGTGTTAACCAAATTTTGTGGCCTCTCTCATAAAAATTCGTTTTGATCTTCGACTCTCAGTCTGGTTAGCGGCTTGCTAAAAACTGAGTCATATTGGGACTTGAGTGGCTCACTCATTTCCTAGATGTCATCTGTGTAGGACCCATCTTGTTTAAGTAGGGGCCCAATACTGGATGTTGTTCTCGACTTTGATTTGGCATAGGAGAAGAAATACTTTGGGTTTCTTTTCGATTTCATTCATGGCTTTAGTTCTTCCCGCGATTCCTGACTCCTATAAGATTCCTTTAGCTTGAGTTCGATGCTTGCTATTTCTCTGACCAGTGTCTCCCTACGCATTTCAGATATATTGACCTCTTTTAGCCACTCTGTTATTCTTTTCCGTCGCCTGTAAAGGGAGCGCCTGTCTCTTTCTATTTTACATCTACTCCTCCTTTTTCTTAGAGGAATAAGCCTTGTGCATACATCGAGTGCCACCAAGTTAATCTGTTCTAGACATACGTTGGGGTAAATAACAAAAAGGCACAATACTGTGACTGGAACGATACACAAATAACCCGCACATAAAAGACAGAAGCTTACGACGACGTTTCGGTCCGACTTGGACCATTGACAAAGTCACACTAACAGGAGGAGGCAGGACGGCTATATATAGGCAGGAAGAGGTGGAGGTAGTAGTAGTGGTAGTAGTAGTAGTAGTAGTGGTACAAGAATTGTATATAATACCGACAGGATGAAATGACACATGCACAACACCCGGGCAACCCCACCGTAGACGTTTCGCCATCCAGCCAGCCACTGGATGGCGAAACGTCCACAACAAAGACAACCAGACGCCGTACATGTGTCTAATTTCATCAGTAGTTGTAGTAGAAGAAGAAGAGGTAGTAGTAGTGGTAGTGGTAGAAGTGGGAAATAAGGAAGACGAGCCAGTCAAATACAAAGGAAGGGGAGCACTGCAAGAGAGCTAGAAACCCACAGAGGGAGAGCAAGCGCACCGAGGTGCGTGAAAGGGGAAGTGGTGAAATAAAATAAAGAAGGAACAGAAACACGAGACAGGAGAGAGAAAGACAACCCAGAGGAGAAAAGGAGAGAGGAAAGGGGAAGACGAAGAAGTAAAAGAAGAAGAAGAAGAAAAATGAGGATTCAGGTTAAGTCACGGGTGTTCTGAAGTTTGGAGCATTTTACAATGTAGTGGGAGAGGAAGGCATCTACAGAGACGAAGCCAGGGCTAAGGTTCATACAAGGAAAGTTGTGTATAAGAGAAGATTCAACTAAACGGCGACTGTTCGAGTTGGAAGTAGGGAAGACAGTTTTAGCAGAAGACCAGTCAATAGGATGGCTATGATCTCTGACGTGACAGAAAAGAGCATTGTTAGTGTCGGCAAGCCTAACACTATTTTTGTGCTCCCTAAGTCTGTCAAAAAAGAGTTTCGACCAGTTTTCTCCAAAGTATTGAAGGGGAAACAGGAGGAGCAAGAAATAGAGTAGACACCAGGAACATCTGTAGAGGGAGGAGAGGTATGAACGAGATTAGTGCGAAGAGTGTTAGTCTGGCGGAGGTAAGCTTGATGTCTAAGGGACGGAGAGAATTGTTGAGATTAGAAAGACCGGAAATGTAGGGAAGGCAGAGGATAGAAGAGTTCCCATGAGTAGAGAGTTTGGGAGAGAAGAAATTGCGTTTAGCACGTGAGAGGGCAGAGTCTATGAAATGGGAAGGGTAGCCAAGACGGGAGAAAAGAATTATAAAAAGGGGGAAATTTCTGCTGGAAGGAACTGAGGATCACAGATGCGGAGGGCACGGAGAAAGAGGGAGATAAGAACACTTCTCTTGACAGGGGAAGCATGATAGGAAAAGTAGTGAATGTACATGCCACTGTGCATAGGTTTACGGTAAAAAGGAAAAGGAAAAACCTGTATCTGAGCGGTGGACATGGACATCAAGGAAAGGAAGTAAGGAATTAGATTCCCATTCAGCTTTAAACTTGATGGAAGGGGCAAGATTGTTAACCCTTTCAGGGTCCGTCCCGTAGATCTACGGCTTTATAGTGAGTGTCCAAACCGTAGATCTACGCCATGAGCTCGGCTCACTCTGATAAACTGTGAGTGGTACATTTTTGGGGCCTAGATATGAGAGAATACATCTATGTGGTATGTGTGCACCACATAAAACAGATCCTGCAGCACACTGTGTATAATGAGAGAAAAAAACTGA